AGTAGTAGTAGTAGTAGTAGTAGTAGTAGTAGTAGTAGTAGTAGTAGTAATAGTTTCTGGTATATATGTTTCCGCTTTATTGTTTTCAAGCATTCTGTTGCTAGGGTACGTAATTATCGAAGTCTTGAGTTCTTTATTTCTAAGAATTAACTAGCCTCATTTAGGTATATAAAATATCAATAAAATTAAGATTTTGTTATAAAGCTGATAGGGGGATGAATATCGTACAGTGAAACCAAAATAGTATCAATAATTGCCGAAAAAATAGGGTTAGCATCATTTCAGCGTCAAATATCTACAGATACTTACAGCAGTTTGAAGAACTCGCAACATATGTATATTGGAATACTTGAATATTCTGCAATGCGCTATTTATAAAGCGAAGGCTTCCAGAAAGCCAATATTCTTCGTTTGCACGTTACGTCATCGTGGYCATGCTGGTACCATTTAACAAAAGATTTCTCATTAGCATCCTTTGTTAACGGTACCACAATGGCCGCCATGCCTTTGTCTTTTAACTCTCTAGGGAATGCTTGCAACCCATCAATAAGCACACTAGAGTGCGTCTACACGGATTTTCTTTTGTCATGAATCCATTTTGATGCACCGATTAGTTTTCACGGTAAAAACTGGGCTATGACATCTTTGCACCAATCACAGGGGAGAAGAAATAAGAGATAGATAGCTTCATGATCTTCAAAGAATGTCTAAGCTTGGGTAGTTCAAAAGAAAGAGTTATAAAATACGCATAAACTAGTGAATAAAAAAGGATTTTCTTTCATTTGCTTTCTTTGACCTCAACATTTTTCGTTTCAGAAATTGATGAATGTTCTTCGCCAAGCCTCAACAACTGTTCAGACTTTGCAAATTGTACCAACACGCCTGGTTCATTCCAATGTACGTGTAAACCAGGATTTGTAGGCGACGGGATAAACTGTACAAGTAAGTGATGCAGATATGCGGCGGTGCGGCGGTGCGGCGGTGCGGCGGTGCGGCGGTGCGGCGGTGCGGCGGT